GCACTGATAAATGAAGCAGTGGATTAAGGTATCAGATGTTTCCTACTGGGATTTAATGCCCTAAAGGCCAGTGCGTTGTATGTATTAAAACTGGACAGATTCTGCTCTCGGCTAGCTCGCCCCGGTGAGCTGCACGCACCGCCCAGCCCAGCTTGGAGCTGCAGCTCGCACCGCAGCAGAGCTGAGCATCCCTCGGCACTCGTAGTCCGAGAACGGCCCCAGAAGGACACGGCCACCAAGGGCACGTCTCTGTGTCGGGGACAAGAGCCTCATGCCAGAACAGGCCTCGCGGGAGGTGACTTTTCTCTTGTTCTCTGAGGTGGAGCGGGGTGAGAGCGGGCTGTCCCTCCCTCGCCCCTGCCACCTCCCGCGGGCTCCGGGCGAGACCCCCTCCCGCAGCCCTGGCCTGCTGCTGACCGGGGGGGTCTGCCTCCCCCTTACCGTCCTCTTTTGTGGAGGGAAAGAATGAAGCCAGAATTTATTTTAATTGTTTATTGTATAATATAAAACTACAAAAGTAAGACTGCTCATTTCCATGTACATTTGTCCAATTGTTTTTTGATTACAGCCCATACCTACATGTGAATACAGTAATCTGGTTTCAGATGTATATGTCTGTAATATTGCATAGAAAAGGCACAGCTCTAAGGTCTGTGGGAGGGGAAGGGGAAATACAGCCTTTTTTCTTTTTTTTTTCTTTTTTTTTTTTTTTTTTGACAATAACAAGCCCTGTTCAAACAACCATGCACTGAACATGTCACACTATTTACACCTTTTCCAGAATCTTGGCCTTTACAGGCACTAGTATGGATTATGCTCAGAACTAGATAGGAGTCGAGGTTGGGATTTTAGCTGCAATTTGTGTTTTTTAAAGAGGTTCCAGAACTTGCATTAGGCTTATTTTCAGAAAAAGAAAAAGTGCTTGAAAAAGAACTAATTTCTTTAAAAATGTTCAGTCTCATTAATTAATAGAAGCACTGAAAGCAACTTGCACAGAAGCAGGATACTGAAACCTGATGGGGGCGAGGGGAACCAAAACAAAACCAACAGAAACCCTGCAACAAGAACGAAAAGTTCACAATATGCTGGAGTGAAATTAAACCGTTTGTCAGACAGGACCCATTAAGATTTACTCAATTTAATGGTGATAAAAGTGTAAACTTCGGATTCGAAACATTGGTTTTAAACAACCCAGGCTATTACCACACAGCATTGAGGAAAAACCAAATTACCTTTCACAAGGTCCAAATTTATTCTTGCAGTGATTGCTTCAGACGGTGGCTTGCTTTTCTAGCTGGCTGCAAGGAAGGTGCCAGATTGATGCATTTATATATGACACTGCTTGAAGGGGGAAGTTCCCCCTTCCTTTGCATATAGGGCTGTGCGGTCCCATCGGGCTCTGGAGGGGACCTGTGGTGTCCGAGGACGGGCTGGTGGGACACACGGAGCAACGCGGGTAGTTGGAACTCGAGCGAGCAAACCCTCTGCCGCATGTGCGCGGTGCGGTCCTGACTTCTTGTCTGGCCTTACCTTCTGGCAATGAGGTGGTGTCGGCTCTGTTGTCGCAACTTCTGGGGCTGGAGGTAACATCCCGCACCCTTCTTCAGCTGTCCAGCCCCAGGGACTTCAGCTGGGCTTCCCGTGTGTGTTTTAAAAAAACAAAACAAAACAAAAAAAATCACCTTTTTCAAACGTTTACTAGGCCAGCACAATGGAGGTGATTGCGTTTGCTCCTGTTGCAGATTCCAGCAGAGTGCTGGGGGAGACCCGTCGCGAGAAGCTGACGGGGTAGGAGCCTGACTAGGACTAATTTTGAACATAAAACTGTCCCTCATCCATACCTTTTTTGCATATTTCAAACAACCAGACCCATATTAGAAAAAGCGTGGAAAAAAATTTAAAAAGTCATGTGAACCATGCATATCCTGACTGGAACTCAATTCATTTTCTCTGAATCTGGCTCCCATACCCTTTTTCATACAGATTTACATTCCTACAAGAGAATACATTCCTACCATACATTCTGTACATGTTACAATCCAGATGTTGTTAGCTTCACAATAAAATAAATATATTTACAGAAGGAAAAAAAAAAAAGAATAAATAATTTACGAAAAACAAAAAAAAAATCACTTCAAATCCAAAGCTCCTTTATTCTGCTCCCATCTTGTCACTTCATTGCACATTAATGTCAATCTCCATCCCTGGTTTAGGACTCGGAGACGTTCCACGCGTGGCTGCTGTTGGGATCGTGGCAAAGGCCACACTATAGACAGTAAGTGATGGTGTGGGGAGAAAGCCACAGCTGAGCCCTTCCCTCCATAGCTTGCCATGGTTACAGACCAGCACCAGCCTCGCTAACCTTTTGCCTAGTCCCGTAAGTAGGGTATGTTTATGTCCTATGGGATTCCCGTAAGGACTCTGCCATAGGACGTGCTCTTCAGCACCAAGGATACACAGACATCATCTTCCCGAGTGGTGAAGTGGATTTAGAGCTCCTCTCCTGTTCTGCGGATACAAAAACTTCAACTAACTCCACTTTAACAACAGCACAGCTCTCCAAAAGTGGCATTCATGTGAACTTTTACCTAGCATATGGTATTTGTTTAAATGTGTAAGTAATCCCAAACAACAACAAAAAAAAAAGGCAGCTCTGGCGTACTGTAAATCAGTTTTTAACCATGGTAAGGCGGGTGCTTACCAAGTTACCATGTGAAACTGCTGACGGTATCGCGTGCCTACCTGTTTGTGCAGGCAGACACGCGACCCTCGCACGGCTGACGTTTTCCCAGTTACAAGAGGTGCAGAATCCGGCAGGGCTGTTTTCCTACCAGGGCCGAGGAGCGCGGCTGAGCAAGGTCCGGTCGCTGCCGGGTATGAGACGAAGCAGTCGTGTGTGTCCCCCCACCCCCTCACTTCCGATGGTCCCTAAAGCTACGCTTGGTCAATGGTTTTCTGTTTGAAGCAATAACTTTTTTTTTTTTTTTTTTTATTTTTTTTTTTTAGTCCGTGTAAGGAAACGACTGCAAATCCATCAGCATCCCGCTGCTTCACTGAGTTCGGCCTGGAAAAAAAAGGAAAGCAAACCCACCCCCTCGGCCAGTTCCCCCTTCTTCCCCCCAGCCCCACGTCTCACCCTGGCAGATGAATTACGAGCCAAAAACGCGTTTTGTAATTGTACATGACGCATTTCATTTCGATTAGGAGTTCCTTCATTGCAAAACATATTTGCTTTTATACTGTGTCTGTGTGCATATCTATGTTACATCTATCTATCTATATACTAATAAATATATATGGCCTGTTTTAAAGTGCCAATTTATAAAAAGCTGCCTCCTTAAAGGGCAGACAAGACCCAATTTCATCCATGACAAGAAGGGAGCAGAATTGACTGAATATTGCCAAATGACGTAAAACATAATTTAAAATTTCTTAAATAAATATAAAAGTTATTCCTAAAGAAGCCATAGGCATGTCAACAATATAGGTTGTAACCGGCGCTCAACAGCTAAAGTACCATTGAAAAACTAAAATGCCATAGCAACTTCAGCAATAGGCATGATACATCGCAAACATTTTTTTTTTTTTTTAAATTAAATGTACACCACAATGAACTTAAAAAAATGCTATTGGTGCAGTAATGAGAAGACTTCTCAGGTGTTACGGGGAATGGGACCATGCATAGAAAGCTGTGTCTGTATATTCGTTGTAAAACGGGTCTATAAAGTGTAAAGCAGGTAACACAGTTGATACAAGAAACCAACCCTATACGAGATGCCAAGGCATGTAACACGACTGGCTCCAGTTTCAACAGCAATGGATATCAGAGCAAGTCCATCCAGTGCAGGTAAGAGATGAGCTTCACTGCAGTAATACTGAAGTTGCCTTTTTCAGCACTTAGCACAGTGAGGTGGGGAGAGGGAAGGAGAAATGCTCCAAGAAAGGGCGAGTGGACGCTGTCAACGCCAGTCTTCTGCCCGCTCCGCACGTACGCCCGTCGGTCAGGAGGATTGCCGCAAGAGGTTGGCTCTCGGTGGGCAACGGGCGCGTTCCCCCTCCAAACCATTCCCAGGAGCTTCGGGTGAGGAAGTGCTGATCTGCCGCCGTGTTAAGGCGCTCCACGTCACGCGGGATGGATGCCCCAGCAAGGGGACGCGGGCGGGCTGGGGGGCGCCGGCCCGGTGCCGGGGCGGGGAGGCTGCAGCCGCGGTGGTGCTCGGGACCTCTTCGGGTGAAGTTCCACAACTGTTTCCTGCCAACTGCTTCACATACGTGTTGGAAAAGGACATGGCTCTAAGTTTCAGGAATCACAGTAGTGCGCAGTGGGTACAGCAGGGAGCAAACACTTGTGAAACTCCTACAGAAGCAGCTCCCAGCCCTTTCTTAAAGCACTTTTTTGTTTGCATTCAGGGAAACCGACTGCAGGCTTATTTGATCCAATTTTCTCTTTGCACCATACACATATAAAACATTACGACTCTGTATAAAAGTACAAGTGGTTCTTGTACATCTGAATTATGCAGGAACTATGTGAGCAAATCCTATCAAAATAGCTATTTTTTTGTGTGTATAAACAGCATTTGTTTTTAGAAAAAACAATATCATAAACTGCAGAATCTGTACAAAAATATAAAATAAATTTGGGCAGCAGTTTCTAAACAGCCATGTAAATGCAACACTTAAAGAGGAGCAGGTTAATGCCTCCAAAAGGCTGAATTGCTAAGTCAACCTATACAGGGCTAAAATGGTATTGAGATTATCTAAATAATAAAATTTTTTACCTCTTGCAATAAAACTTATAGAAAAAATAGACAAATATGCACATGCAATTTACAGCTTTCCCCAACATAATCCTTGTGCTTAGCTTTTACAATTTTTTTTTCTTTTTTTTTTTTTTTCTTTTTTTGTAATAACATAACATTGTCTACAATACATATTCTTTCCTATACCAGGATATTCGGTCTTCCTTGAGGAACCACTTTAAAAAAAATACATTAGAAGTGGTCATACATGGATGAAGGCACTCCAACTCTGCTTGAAGCAAAAACTAGTGTGATCCTTTTCTTTTCAAAAAAGGCAAGCAAGGACGCATGCACAGTGCTGTGAATCGGGGGTGGAAGGGACTATGGAAATACTACCAAGTGTATATACTGTACTTAAAATTAAAAAAAAAAAAAAAGTTGCTATATTTCTATATTTTAAGACCCAACAAGCACCTCCATGATGTGATCCAGTTCTGTGAGGTCCATTTTGAAAGGCTGATTTGGAGTTACTGGTTGACTGCTGTACGGAGCGAGAGTTTTTAGGAGCTCATCTGCTGAGACAGGAGCCATTTTTGAGGCAGCCCCTGTGGCAGACGTGCAGGGGTCAAAATCATACATGGACGTATCAATGTCAGCGAACAGAATATCATCCAGGGTCAAGTCCGTGAGGAAACCTGTGGAAGTTGTTATCTCAAAGTTGCCAGGTAGCGAGTCCATGAGTTTCGATTCGGCTGTTCTGCTCTCTGGGAGGCCCTCGGGCTTTTGAACGTTGGACTCGCTGGGGTGGTCTTTAGAGTCATCGGCTGCTGTTTCGGCTGCTACTGCCTCTGCGGAGGTAGGTGCTGGACAAAGCTCCTCGATTTCGTCCAAGGCTGAAGAGAAGCTGTCCTTTACTGGTTGGAGAGCAGGAGGTGGTGGTTTTGTCGGACTATCGTGCTGGACAGTCGGGGAAGTGCAAAAAGTGTCGTCCTCGAGCAAAGAGGCTGGGGTGAGGCAAGACTCCAGGGGCGTAGTGCTTACGAAGTCAGTGGGGAGAAGGGGCTGGGAGGCGAGATGGCTGAACGCCGGCTGGGCCTCGCGGAAGTTGTCACTGAGAGGGTCGGCGGGCTGCGAAGCGGTCACGAACACGGGCCTCAAGCTGCCTTCTTGTTTGAGTTCTTCCTGGATTCGCCTCAGCATGTTGTTAATTAAAACTGTCTTTTGCAAGCTTGGCTCGGTTAATGGCCTGTGGTTATAAAGTTTCATAAGGGAAATGTTGAAGATAGTCTGACGCTGTAAGGTGTAAGACACCTTAGAGGGACCGTCAGTAGGAGACACCACTTTGCCTTCCAGCCCATCTTCATGCTCGTCAAACTTCCGCTTTCCTCCTTTCCCCAACATATATCTGAAAGGAAAGAGAAGAGACCAATGAAGCCAGCAAAGCTTGAAGCCTGTTCTTCCCACCTGAATCATTACCCCAGTCCACCTACTCCCCTGCACATGTCGTGTGGACAGATTGGCCACTCTGTCCCCTCCTTGCTTACCCCTAACAGTCACAAGTGGAAATCTATCCACATAAATAACTCGCTCTTAGCCCACAGCAGCGTGATGAGGAAGCAGAAGCCACCTTAACACAGTGTTCTGGTCCATTGTGTTTAAGCACGGCTATGCTGGTCAATTCCAAGCAGGAATTCAAACAGCAGCTATAAAACTCAAGCCCTTGTGCGCTTGGCAGCAAATTTCACTCTTGCATATGTTAAGCATATGGTCCCCAAATATCCGTACATAGGTGCACAAGCTACAGATACCATACTGAACGTTCCTTTAAATTTCCTGACTGATGCAGTACTATGCAACACAAACGGTTCTTAAAATGAATTTCCCTTACTCAAATTCATGGGGGGAAGGGGAGCGAGGCTCAAGCAATTGTATACTGAGAGACACGTTCCTGGTGAAGTCAGGAGATTCAACCCTTTGGCACACCAGGATATATGCATATCTGACCTTGTGGGTTTATTTAACTGATCGCGTAAGGACTGAACTACTAGAGCAGGAAATGCAGTTATTACACTCAGATAAATTACACATGAAGAAGAAGATCCGTCAGGTCTTTTAGTCTAATCTCCAAGACCATTCCCTGCACTACACTGCTGCTGCAGCCAGGGCCTTCAATCCTGACAGTGCCTGGGTCCCGGTTTGAGGATGGGGGCATCTGCCTCAGAAAAGCTTCAAAGGAGTTTGGTGTCTCCTGAAGTGTTGAGCACCCCCCTCCAGGAGCCGGGCCCCCGGAGAGCACCCCTAGTCCCACACTCGGAATCCACGGGGGAGCGCAGGCCCTGCCTGCCCCTTGCGCTGGTGGGGGATGCTCTGGCAGAGGGCTGGGGTGGGCTGTGCTCTCACCCCCTGGTCTTCTGGGTACAGGAAGCATTTTCACACGGCAGTGTTTGAAATCCTTTCCTCAGCTTCTACCCGGCTAAGGCGACGCCAGCAGCCTTTGCTTCCTCCGGTAAGACTTTCAGGAGCTTGCTAGCCACAGACAGAATAGCTTTTGCATCACAGCAAGGATGCATTGCTCCAGATGCACCATTTGTCTTCGCTTCTCCCCCATCAAAGCGTGTCCCTCACTCAGAACTACATCCATGTCAGGTTTCTTTTGAGAACAAAAGAATGCCGTAGGGTTTTCTAAAGAACAAAAATCAGCATAAATGCATGTGCTTTTCTCCTGGTCAGATGGCAGATTTTGAAGAAGGAGACAAAGGGAATTTTACCAAACTTGCCCCGCACCATAAATCATTTCTGAGCTACGAGTAAGTAGGGCAGTTCAATCCCCGGTGCTGTCTCTTCCAGGGTGTTTCAAAGCGCCTGGAAATGCTCCTCTACGCAGCACAGTCCCAGCCTCACTTTGTCACCATTATTTTTGTGACATGAAGATCCCCCCAAACACAAAGGAGTGAAGGAATCGCTGTTCTGTGACAGAGGCACAACCTAACATTACGCATCTGAACGGGGAGGGCTTTAGGGTCAGCGACCCTCTGCCCCACACCACCACCCATCTTCGGTGAGTAGCCAGGGTTTGGTTTGTTGAAATATCCATGATTACTTGGGTGAAACAGCATGGTCCCTGTGACAGACACTTCTTTCTGTGCTTGTGAGATGGCAGGTTCCCTCTGACTCTCTCCCCCACTACTTGCATGGACCCAGTTTACCAGACAAGCTGTTTTATCACATCTAAATCAAAACTAGGAGCAGAGGCAGTTACTACACTTCACTTGCCTGTCCCATGAGCTGCATCAAACCAGCTGAGGAAAAGTCCTGGCGGGGGGGGAGGGGGAAGGCAGTAGGATCGCAGGCGTTGTAGAGCAGCACCCCGCGCTCGGCCTGCTTCCACGTCTCAGGGCAAACGTTTGGCTTTCCTCTCTCATTTTCCTGGGTAGAGCGGTGAGGTGCTGGAGCACTAACCCAGTTGCCCTTTTAATAGGATCACAGACAGCCCCCTGTTCATCGCTGCATCCCTCCCTCCATTTAACAAAACACTAATAAAATGGCATCAAGATTTCTGCCTCATTTTTAAAAAAAAAAAGTGGAAGACGCTTTCCAGCCCCAGCTACCCAGAGAGAAGTTGCAACAGGCATATAAATAGATTTTTAACCCCAAACCTGACTCCTCTCGTATGAGCTTTATTATGCAGCTATCGCCTAGCTATCGTCTAGGAGACAAAACTTGCCTTCCTTATTTGAGTACAATTCCCAGTTCCCCCAACAGGATCCACACCTGCGAAATGACTGCACCAGGCAGGTCTAACACCAATTTGGTCATCACACACCAGTCCCGCAGTAGCTAAGGACTTGCAAACATCCCCAAGAATGTCTGACAAACATTTAAAAGCAAAGAGCCCTTGCGAAGCAGGAGAGGGGGCAAAAGAAGTCAGGGTTTCAATGCAAAAAGGAAAGAGCTTCAGAAAGCATTTGCTGGACGTTAAATCCAAAATCAGATTGGGTGAAGTGAGCCTCTTCTGGTTAAAAATAAGTCCCAAATCCAGATCATTTTCTAGCATATTATGCAATTAAAAAAAGAAAGGCGGGGGGAGGGAGCAAGCTGAGCGGAGCTGAGGAACGGGTAGGCTGCCATTCAAGCTCCTTGGCCAGCTACCAGCGATCCCCGCGCCTGGAATCTCGGGTGAACAAAACCTCTGAAATTTAGCACTACTGCCGAAGTCTGGTTTTTCTCTGCTCCCTAGTGTCACTTCCATGGACTACTCCAGAGCTGTGCACGTGGGTTTGGGGTGTGAGGGGGGGCTTCACTGTTCAAATGTTCACGATGGTCACGCTTCCTTCCACTTCGGACAGATAGAGCAAGAAAGGGAGGACCGGGCTAGCAAGAATCGAAACCCCTGCCCAAATCCAGCATGTTTTCAAAGCAGCAATGGGTTAGGAGGAGAGCTAGCAGCTTTCCATCCCTTCCTACTATCTCCTCCCCCTGAAAAAAGACAGGCTCCATCCTAAAGACATATCAATGCTCCTTCTGCAATGCTCTATTTAAAGGAGAAATTTTTAAATGGCTCAGGGACTAGGAGAGTTTCGAAGTTTGTCAGGCTCTGCGAGGAATGTATGAAAATATTCACTGCACAAAGCAAACCTTTTTCCCCATGATAAAGAAAACAGACCATTCGGGTGGCCACGCTCTGTTCCCTGTGCTCGATTATTAATTATTATTGCCAGGGACGTCGGCAGGCATTTCGAATGAATCCAATTGAGCCCATTTGCATCCAAGATTGAGGTGCTGCTAGTTACGACGTTTTTTAAGCTGACCGGTAAGAGCTATGAGACCATCATTAGTAAACACAACGATAACCTCGCTACGTCATTTTCCAGGACGCTTAGAAATGATTCAAGGTTTCCTGTATGTGTGACTGTCAAGCTTTCACATCTCACTCCATCTTCACATAGCTTGGTTCAGAGCTTGTCCTTTTAAAAAACAGAATAGATCAGGCAACTCCCAATTTCACCTACTCGCTTTTCAGCACAGCTTTCAGCTTCCTTTTCCCCAGAAATGCTCTCTGAAGCGAGTTTAACTATTAAAGCGGCAAAGCAGGATGCCAGCCTAAGTAAGGGGGTTTTATTCCCCAAAATAGGGGGCTCAAATGAGCATCTCTAGACTCTCAGCTTTAGAGAGTTTTATTTTATCCCCTTCTCCTCTGGCATGCAAATGGGAGTTGTAAAAACATTTTCCTCCAGTTTCCACAAATCACTTTATTCATTCTAAGCAAAGCAAGGAGGCAGTACCTTTTTAGACCAACTGATAGAGTTGGTAAAAACAGACAGGCTTCAGGCTTGCAAGCCTTTCTCTCGATCTCCAAAAAAGAATTTTATAGTTTCTGACCACTACAGCTTAAGACAACATTGCCTGTTTGTTCTTTACAGTTCAAACCATCTCTTCCCTCTTTCAACCAACAGTTTCATGCCTACATTAAAGAGATCAATTTTGTACATCTTAAGATACTGAACAACATTAAAAAAAAAAATAGCAAGCTGTACAATGCCAGCATTTGATCTGGTTCAGTTCTGTTCATCTCAAAAACTTTGTTCCTAGCCTTTCCAGCCAAAGCTCCTGCTGGGAAAATGAAAACACCAAACTTACAGTTTGGGTTGACCAAAGATCAGTACAAAATGAGATATACTCACACCTTCCCAAGTGTCAGAAGACAGAGTTGGCCTACCAAGTCATATGGCCATAATGGGGGCAGCCAGACAACAGCAACCCACCAAAATGCAAGACTGGACAGGCATTGACAAAGGGTCACGTCCATGGAGGGCTTTTCGTGGACCCATTTTGGCAATCCCAGCAATCCCAGCCAGATGTATTTCTGCCACATTTCCATCCATCTGCCAACAAATGTCATTTTGGGGCCAAGCGTTAAGAGTTGAGATGGGATGTCACTTTGGTTTTGTTGTTGTTTTAATAAAGGGTTTAATGCAGGGTTTTGGTATGCAAGTTAGTTTTCAATGTTATTTAGGTATGTGGAACCAGAAAGCTGAAGAAAGGCAATGGAAAAACCGCATTTATCCGGGGTGGGGGGAGTTACTTGGAGATCTTCCCCGATATTATCCACCAGTTGGCTCCAGCTCTGAAAGACCCAGACCCAAAAGCTGAACCATTGTTGCTGAGAAAGATTCAACTTGCTTTTTTGCCCATTTAGGGCAATTGCACGCGCCTCAGAGACAGAGAAACCCTAGCATTGTTTGGGAGTTGGCTTTTCTTAATTGAAAAACAAAAGTAATATATATTTTTTTCATTTGCATGTCATTTAGCTTCCTTTTATTGGCTCTGCATGCTCTTCAGACAGAGCTGGAAAAAAATGCAACTGGGGCTCAGCAGAAGAGATAATCAGCCTGGAGCGGGTGGTTCTCTGGAGTCAACCGTCATCGATTAAACACAGAAAAGCTTGT